CGATAATGCACAAAGCCCACTTGGCCTGTAATTTGCCCGCTGGCATCAAAGGGCACTGAGCTCTCCGTAGGTGTATAATTAAATGCCTCATCAGCTCGTCAGCTCGGCTGATTGATTAACATGCATGAAACAAGAAATGGACAAAGCGCTGATGGACAAGTTACAAAACGCAACAAATGAACAAACAAATGAGTAAGAAAACAAAAAAGTAGCCACCAAAAAGTAGCCAAAGCAAAAAAAAAAACATAAATATTTCTCAATGCAGCAAACGCTTGAACTCTTCACTTTGGAAATGTCGCTGACGAAAATGAAATCAATACGAAATCCACTTTTCATTATGTATTGTTACCAAATTAGGCGCTGACCGCTGATAAGCGGCGGATCATTAATGATTTATAGTTGCCAAATAAACACTGGCGATAAAGATAAACAACACGGACACGCAATCGACGCCCGGATCAAATCCAATTAATATGCAACAATTTCAAGCTGCGCGGACATTGAGCTTCGGTTAATGCTAATCCGACGCGAATTGCATTTGCATAAGGAGGAAGAAACGACTTTAAGCCGGGGCTTTTAATTAAAATGCTCGGCGACGTGGAAGGTTCTAGCCGAAGACACGCAGCGTCTGAAAAGCAGGCGATAAAAAGTCAATAAAACCAGTTAAGGTCAGCCAATGCTGCTTGTGTAATCAACATGTTTGCTGCGGCTGCTGCTGCTGCTGTTGCTGCTGCTGCTGCTGCAGATGCTAAATACATTTTTATTTATGAATAATGTGATGTGCTGACGATGCCGTTGCCGATGCTGATCACGTTGCCTCCGCTGCGCCACAATAAAAATGAAAATAAAAATAATAAAGTCTCAAGTGTCGTCGGTCGTCGATCGCTGATTGTTGATCGTCGATCGCCGATGGTTTGGCGTTTGGTAGTCACTGTGGCACTGTGTCAGTGGCCGCCGGGGGCAACCGGTTGCGCATCCTTGACATAAAAAGCGATCTCGATCTCGATCTCGCACCAGAGACCAGCTTACATCTTCGTATCGAGCTGGAAATTTATACGAAATTGCGTATACGCAATGGCCTGCGAGGTGGCGAACCAAAAGGGCGCGGCGTCTTTATCGCCCCGATAATCGTGTACAAATTTATGTTAATGACAACGTGTTAACAATTTGCATATCTATATCTGTAGTTGTACCTGTTTCTGTACCTGTACCTGTGATTTGCCAAATCGCACACTGAATGGCATTTTGTCTTACCAAATGTTTTGCTCACGCTCACGCTTCTGTTTCTCTTCTCTTTATATTTTCATATTTGGCCTGCAGATGAAAGTCACACTGGCATTAGCGACTTTCTGCGTGGTGGCGGCCTGCAGCCATGCGGCCAGAACCACCACAACCACAGCGACCAAGCCGGGTCGCTTCCTCTCACTGCCCGTGCCCGCCAAGTGCGCTAGCCGTAAGTATTCACAATCCTACCAACTACCTGACCCAATCATTAACCCATCCATCCATTCCCACAATGGCGAAAAGTAAAAGTGTCGAATGCGGCGAGAATATTAAGCGGTTGGTGTGCCGTCGCTTCGGCTGCCAAGTTTGCACTTGAATTTGTTTGGCAATGCGACGTGTGGGTGTAACCACAACAGCCAGGGGATTTTGCTGAAGGTCGCTGACGTGAGCGCCAGCTTTATAGTCGTCTTTGGTTTTAATTCACTTTTTTTGGCCGCCTTTTTCGTAAACAAATTCCATTTACCAGATAGAAATAAAGCAAACAAAAGTTTAATTCAATCTATTAAAAGGAAACACTTTAAGAAATCACTTATTTTGTGATTAATTTGTTAATGAATAAGTCTAAAAACTAAAAGTTTTCTTAAAAAAGTAAAAAAAAGTATATATATTCATTTCTTTGTAAAGGTTTAATATTTTCTCTTAATTTAATGATATTTTCTCTTAATTTAACTAATGGATTATAAAACATTAAAAAAATGAAGCTAACCGGAACTTGAGATCATTAACTATCAAAAAGTGTTGAAAATTGTTTATTTTCCAACCGTACAATTAAATAAAGTAAAAAATGAAGTGGTTTCCTCGGCTTAGGCTAGATATTAACTCTCAATTTGCCAAATCAAAAGGGGGTTAAGTGTTAAATAGTTCAGTTGAAGTGGGTTTTCCTCATTTATTCTAGCGATGAATGACGATGCAAGTCATCGCCTGAGATTACAAACATTGCATCGGGGCTTAGAGTTCAGACGAAAACGGGTGAAACGCCTGAACAATAGCATCATCGCTGCATATCCGGTACACTAATGAACACTTTGCAGTTATTGCTAATTAGGCAAGCCCTAACTCACACCAGCATCGGCGCACTGCCACATACTTATGGCCAACACACACTTAGACTACTAAGCCGAGCCGTTAAACATGCAACTTTATTTTCGGGGCGTCACCGAGTTGCATTTCCAGTTTTGATTTTTTTGAGCCCGGTGCGCCGTTTTAGATCTTTCATCTCTTAGAAATTTCCAGTTATACAAGCGCAACTTTTTTAGGTCTCCCAATAGTTAAATCACCTGATTAACTATTCAGACTTAATTACCTTTTGTAGACAACTCTCTCAGGCGTGCAGTCGCTCGATAATTAAGATTCGAAAACGGTTTGGTTTTTCTAACTCACTGCTAAAAGATGCCAATCGCAAACCGGGGGGAATGCAATCGCAGTTGGCGGATTATTATGCAAGTTTTGGTTAGGAAAATATTAATACGTTGCCAAGACGAGTTTTAGCCATATTATCGCCTTGACCTGCACACAAAAGGACCAATAAATGTGGGGAAATTGCAAGAGGCAGCAGCAACAGCAACAATAGCAGCAGCAAAATAAATAATAATGTGCAAACAATGGCAAATAAGGCCATTATGTTGGACTTAAGCCGATTTGACGCGAAGTATGTATTGGGGCGGGGGCGGGGGCGTGGCAAGGGGGCAGTTGCAAAAGTGGCTTAAAGCGCGGCTAATGACGCGTGCCAGCTGTGGCAACAGGCGGGTTTTTTTGTTGTTTTTTCCCCCATTATAGGGGCGTTACCCGCGGGCGGACATATCGCACATTGCGAAGACCGACTTCGACTTCCAAAGAGGCAGCTAATCAAATGGAAGCTGGCAGCTCGCTCAGGCGAAACAAGTTCGAGGATGGAGCTGTTAGGCGGGGGTTCCCATTGTTCCTCACGGCGGACAAACAAACCGACAAAGAAAAAAAATAAAAATATAAATAAAAGAAGGAAAAAAAACGGCAAACCTTTTGACACCATCCAAGACAAAAGGAAAGCGGCAGGCGGCAGGCGGCGGGCGGCGGGCGTCGGGCGCAAAAAGAAGCATGCTGCATAAATTGCGGAGATTGCGTAACCCGCCGCCACCGGGGAAGTTGTGTAAGGCCTGGGGCAACGATTTTTTTTTTCTTTTTTTTTTGCACTTTTGGCATTACTACTTGCTTTCGGGTTCGTTTGCGCTCTTTTTTTTTTCTTTTTTGTTGTCTGCCCATGATGGGGCAGGCTCGAAGACATTGCACTGGGTCTCGAACTGAAGATGGGGCTGCAGTCGCGCGGAGAACCGGTTCCACTGGCCACACCCACACTGGGAAAAATATATAGGCGAAATTTATTAAGATTTATCTTTGTTTTTGTATTTAATCGTTATTGTTAACTATTTCTAGAAGCAAGAAATTTTTGTTCCAATTTAAAGTGTTTGTTTTGGAAATACAACTTTTTTTTTAGTTCAAAAAATTTTTTTTCGGTGTTAAATCATAATTAATGGTATACAATAATTATTTTTAGCACATTATGTTTGTTAAAGCTACTTTTAAATGGTCTTAGGATGTGAAATTTAAAAAAACCTTAAGCCAAGCCATAAATAACCACATTTTCTTCCTGTGCACTGCCAAAAGTATCGCCCCCATTAACCCGACTTTCTCTTTCTGGACCCACAGGTCCCAAGGAGTTCTCCTACCGCGGCAAAAACATGTTCCTAACCACCCACGTGCCCGCTTTGGCCAACAAGAAGGTCGACTGGCTGGATGGCCGCAATCTGTGCCGCGAGTACTGCATGGATTTGGTCGCCCTGGAGACCCAAGAGAAGAACAACCTGATCTTCCGCGTGATCCAGCAGAACGATGTGCCGTACATCTGGACGGCCGGACGTATCTGTGACTTTGCCGGCTGCGAGAATCGTCCGGATCTGGAGCCCAAGACCGTCTACGGATGGTTCTGGTCCGCAACCCGCGAGAAGATCCAGGCCACCAACCGCATCCCACAGGGCTGGGGCTACAACCCGTGGTCGCAGACCGGACACAAGAAGCGCCCGCAGCCGGACAACGCCGAGTATGACATCAACCAGACCAAGGAACAGTGCCTGTCCGTGCTGAACAACGTGTACAACGATGGCATCGCCTGGCACGATGTGGCCTGCTACCACGAGAAGCCCGTCATCTGCGAGGACAACGAGGAGCTGCTGCGCTATGTGGCGGCCACGAATCCCGGAATCCGTCTATAAGGCGGCACGCTGGGCGTTCGCTGTTTGCCTAATTTTAAAGCTACTTATTATAATATTCCTTAAACGAGTTTTTGTATCATTTTTGTTTGTATGTGTACGACGAAAACGGAAGAAAGCAAGACAAATAGACTTTAGAATTTACAATTTCCGATCTTACCACCTATAATACTGTCATCAAATCCCCAACCCACAAATCCCAGCACCCAGTGTCACTTTACCTTTTCTCGTTTCAAAACTGCCAATTTTACGCGTAGAATTCCATTCCGTTGTAATCAATTGAGTCGTTTTCGGACCGCACTTGAAACTATTTATAAGCAATCTTAAATTGCGAGTGTATCTCTGTCCCTCTGATTTCCATCCTAGCAAGAAATTCGGAATCTCTTTAGTATTTTGTTTGAGACACTCACTCATGTTTTGCGCACAAAGAGATTGAATAAAATTTTGTAAAGATCCCATTAAACAAACCTTAAATGAATACTTTGGCTTTTTATTGGCGTTGGTTTGGCTGATATCTGTTTGATCTTCGATCTTCATGGGATGATCCCGATGAGCTGCGATATCTTTTAGAGCATCTACCACGATTCAATCGGGCTGACCATTTATCACTTCTCGATCTGGAATTGAACTCCGTCTGATGGGAGTTTTTGAGATCCTGTCTTGTTCCAGAGTTCCTAATGCTGTTGCTTAAGTCTTTGGAGTTTTCCAGCTCCATCTCAGGGCTCTCTGACCAGCGCCAGTTCCTACCATGCTCATTGTGGTCATCCCAACTAAAAGAAGGTAAATTAAGTATTACTGACAAACAACAGTTTAATATAAAGGCTTACCTTGGAGTCTTGGCCGTAGGAGTTTGCCTAGAGCGTCGTTCACTTCTTGGAGTCGTCGTATTTTCCAGATCCGTGTTGAACAGATTGTTTGGATTGCGAAATATATGCAGATAGCCGCAGACGTTACCTTTGGGACATTTACGTGTTAAGGACAAACCTTTAAAAAGCCACAGATTGTGATAAAGAAAATGGGATTAAAAAAACATATGGGTTAGGCAAACTGAGTGAGTTTTGGTTTGACAAAGGATACGGCTCTTCTTGGCATGCAGTTCACGTACCGCACACTGCGCCACGCCAGGTTTTCAGATTGGAGAACTCCACGCTCAGGCGCTTGGAGGCATAGAATCGACCCTGAAGACTGGTAAAAGCGCGAAGGGCAGATCTAAAAATATAAATTAAGAAGGCTTTAAATAATATATATAAATACGGTGAAGGAATATTTAAAAATCATAAAAAAACAGCCAACACAAAGATAATCAAATTTGAATAGACATACGCTAAAAATATAAATAACATGCAATTACTTTCATATAAAAATGTTGGAAACTAGGCTTCATTAGGCAATAATTTGAACACCCGAATTATTTGCATACAAACAATTGTAATTAAAATTGTATAATTAATTTAATGGGAATTATAGTTAAAATTCCCAGACAAACCGTTCGTTTGTGTATTCCACGAAGACATTTCCCCTCAAATGTTCGAGCGTATTGCGCACAGTTCGGAAGTTGACGATTTGGCCAAACTTCTCCAGTTCCTCGACGGCATCGTCGAAGAACTCGTCGTAGTCGCTGCGCAGATCCTGTTCGGTCAGCTCCAAGTGCTCCTCCGCGGAGGCGTACTCTTTGTGTGTCCGCTGTTCCCGCAGCATGGAGTGGTTGAAGAAGTGCCGGATGAGCAGGATCCTGGCCAGCATTGGTCGTCGATGGTTGAAGGTGCAGGCATGACCGTAACGGCAGCAGTTGGTGCGACTGAAGAATTCGCATGGTCGTTCTCCCGGTTGGGTTTCCATCACGCGGAGCAAGTGTTTCGGTGGCTTCTCCACGCGCGGGTTGTTCAGGTACTCGGCCATGCTCTCCATCATGGCATCGAATTCGGCGGCTGCCTTGGCGGCTTTGCGGAGCTCCTCTTCGCGCTGCTTCCTTTGTGTTTCCTCCCGTTCCGCCCGCTCTTTGGCCTGTTCCCGCTGCAGTCGGTCCACTTCCTCCTGCTCCCTGCGTCTTTTGGCCTCGTCAATGCGGAACTGCCGCTGGGCGATGGCCTCGCATCGCAGCCAGCACTCCTCCGCATCCTGGTGCTCTCGTTCGGCCACAAGGCGCTGAAATTCCTCCATTTCCTGCTGTTTCTGCAGCCATTTCTGGTAATCCGGCTGCAAAAGTCTCAAATTTTGTGCCTCCTCCTCCAATTTGTCGCGTTCTTTTGCTTGTTTTTGGCGGCGTCGTTTCCTCTGCTGCTTCTTGACTAACTTTCTCCTTGCCCTACACATTAATTCACAATAATTTATTACAATTATTTAGGTACTAAACAATTATCTACTTTTTTACAGCATTTTTGCAGAATCAAAACAATGGAATTCAGCGAGCAGTTAGAACGAAATTATGAGCGAATACCTAAAAAATACCAAAACAAGTGTTTCCGAATACCATAACATACCAAAGTTGTAGAAATAGGGTGGACCACACAACACCAAAATTTGAAAAAAAAAAGGTATTCATCCATAATAATAAACAATATTTATGAACCTTTGTTTTAAATTCCAAACACTTTGTATTTTAGTATAAACGATTTTCAACAATGACCCATTCATTTAGCAATTTAAGAGATGCTCCAAATTGGAAATTTAAAGGTTATTGTAGTGTTAAAATAAAACTGTTAAATTTTAGTTATAAAATCTATAAAAATAATTAAATTTAATTAAGTTCTCTATGCAGTTTTAAGTATTCTTTTTCTAAATCGGTTCATCGTATTTGTATTCTTTGCAATAAGCTTAATGTGCTTTCATAAGTGACTTCTAAAGTTGATAAGCTTTAATTAACAGTTTATATTTTGAAACTGTTCTAACACTGTTGTCGCTGTGCTATGATGTGCTTTAAATAACAGTTCTTATTATAACACCAAGTTTCGAGAATAACATTACATGAATAAGAAAGCTTGTCTTGAACCTGTGCTACTGTTATCATTGATTTAGAAACCAACTATAAAGCTTTATGGCATCCCCTTTTAAAACGCCATGTGGTGTGGTGAGCTTGGTACTCCGAGCTTTCACCCTAAGCTCTTCCCCTCATTTTCGAGCTTGGTTTGGCTTTGTTGCGGCAACATTGAATCTGGCCGAGAATGTTGCTATTGCCGAATGCAAACAAAAAAAATTCAGTGATTCAGAGAAGCTCGTGATTGTTGGTTCACTTCGTGAAGAGCCTTTCTCCTGGCTTTCTCCCGCTCGCCATCTCGCCATCTCGCTCTCGCCGGTTAAGCGGGTCGTGAGTTCTCTCTCTCGGATCCGAACCCGGAATTTGAACTCCGGCTCGGGCTCCGTCGCCGGATCGCCGTGCTCACCTCAACTCAACTCGACTCGACTCAACTCAATTTAACGGGCAACGCTACACAAATATTTGAAACTGCTAAACTAAGCCAAAACAATTGAAGTGGAATTCTCGCGGCACAATTTGATATTAGATAAGTGAAATAATTCACGCCTCCGGCACTTTGTACGTGTAAACAGGTCACAGGAATTTCAACACACACATTCCCATAGCAATAATAGAATTTCATAATCGAAGTGGTCCTCGCAATGCGACTAATTGGATTTATTTTGAATTTGGCAGCCCTAACAGGTGAGTGGCTCCAGCACAGAAAAAAATTAATAATATTGGTAATTTAATTTATAAGTTTAGTGATAAAAAAATTCTTATAATCTGCTCTGAGGTCACAAGGTGCTGATATGTTTTTAATACATAACTTTTAAATGATAAGAAAATTCAATTAAAAGGTATTGTTAGGTTTTTAAAAGCTAGTTTTTCACAGCTTTACTTAATTTACTTGGCATTTACAAAATATTTAAAATAAATTATTATTGAAATTTTTCTATTGTATATATTTTACAAATTAAATATATTTTTTTAAACATTTTTAAAATTTTAAACATTTTAAACATTGTAAGGTTTTTAGTGTTTAAAAAAAAAAATCATAAACATGGTCGGAGCGCAAATTGCTTTTACCTTAACTTCTTTATGAACAGTTTCTTCTTCTCCTAGGAAGTACCTTTATTTATTGGTAAAAAATAAGATTTTAAATTTGATTTTTCAAGCTATAAATAAGTTTTAGCAAGAATGATGACCCCATTTTTGATTCCAGTGTGACATTGGTTAATGTGACTGAGGTTCTACAGGGGGGATAGTAAGGTGCAGATGCCCCCTTCCGAGTTACGTTCTGCGTTTTATTTTCGGTCTCATGGACAGCGTTTATTATGTTCTTGGCTCGCCGTCGGACAGTTACGAGCTTCAGTTTCATTCATAATGTGGTTGTTTTTGTTCCTCTGCAGCCCGGCCGTCTTCTTCCTCATTTTGTCGTTACGTATTTATCAATATTTGCCTTCGGTATTTAGTTTTCTAGCTCAAGTGTCTCGTGGCTAATAGAAAATCGATGGTGGCACATTGTTGCACATTCCGCTGTGCTTATAAGTAAAGTATCTCAAAGATACGAGAGTATCTTGCAGCTTGGCTTGGCCCTTTTGCAACTGTTTTTTTTTGAAGTCGCTGTCAGTCAACGATGTTTGCTCCGAGTCTTTCGATCAATTTCCACTGCCTAAAAGCTGTCTGAGGGGGCGTTAAGTCCCTCTTGAATGGCATTTCCATGGCCTGCTGCCACATGCCACTGATTTTCCATGGGGCCATTTGCCGTGGTCCTCGTCTCCGGCCGACACTTCAATCTGCATGCTCCACATTTATGTGGCGCTGCGTTTTCGGCTCCTCTGTTGCCCGACTTTCTTTGATTTCCATCCAGCCTCTCTTTTGCTTGGCATCGTCCTTTTCTCCCCATTTTACCCACTTCGCCTTGGTCCTTGCAAATATTTAATTTAAGCCTGCTGACATCTCTAGCCAAAGGGTATCAGCATGGTGGAAATAAACGATTTGCAAACAATAATGTATAATCTACATAATAAAAGCTTGAATTCAACAAAATGTTTTTTAAACTAGATTAACACATGTAAAAAAAAATACTTTAAACATGTGCATTAATCGTTGCATTAATTATGTAACGGGAAGTGTTAATGCTGAATTTATATTATTTAAAAAGTATTTATTTATTTAATTATTTATTACCGCAGTATCATGGTGCTACAATTCAAGTTAAGTACACCTTTCACAAAATCAAATTTTTATTTTAATAATTATTTTTTTGATAATTTTAAGTTGCGAGAGAGTGAGTTTATAATTCGAACTTTGTCCTTCTTCCTTGTATAGGGGCTGCACTTGCAGTTGCTTTTATCCTTCGTAACTGGATCCTTGTGCGCCTGACTCCGTTTATTTCTGTTGCTGTGCCCCACTTGCGGTTTTGTTTAATTACGCATATTACTCCGCCTTTCGCCACCAGTGTCCCTTCCCATGCAATCCCATCCTTTGGTCCGCCATACCATCCCATATTCGTAGTGTCCTGCCCGGTGGCTGTTTCTGTCGCTGCGGTCACTTACTGACGGGGACGAGTGTCTTTGGTCGGATCTCTTGAGGCTTGTCAACGGCAGAGAGAATTTCCGGAGACAGTGGGGTTTGAGTTGCTCTGCGGTTGTTCGGGGCACTTCCGCCCCGGGGGCTTTGGTTTCGGATTGTCAAGTGACCAACTGACTCGATTTGACCAACTGCTTTTGGGGGTGACAGAGCTCGCAGCAAACCGATGGCAAATCGGGCTGGTTAATTACTTTGCTAAGTGCTGCTGCGTTCATTTACGGCCATCCCGGGCCAAAAGTCCTCTATCCTCCTTTCGTTCGTCTCGAATTTATCATATTTACCCAGTAAATTCCACAAATTAAAATCAATATGAAGCCTGCAGCGGGGGCAATCATTAATTAAACAAGCGGCAGGCTGCTGTTGCCGCTGCTGCTAATGAGGTAAAGTGTCGAAAGCAACGCCCCGCCTGAAAAAGCGTCGCATTACTTTCGGACGGCACTGTGCGCTTTTTTTTATCCACTTTTAATTGAGGGAAAGGTCAGCGTCGCATCGATTTTAATGCAAAACGAGCCGACAACAAAACAGCGGACACTAGACCTTCTGCAGATAATGTCGGGGGAATTAATAACAATTATCTAGTTTTGGCTTTGCGTTTTGTAATTTATTAGTTTCGGCTCTTGGGTGTTGAATACTAAATTATTTGCAGCTATAAATATTTAAATATATGAGTATTTTATGACCCTTAAAGTATATTTATAATCTATATTACCTATATAGTATAGAAATCTAAATACGATAACCTGCTTAGTTCGTAAAAATGAAAAGAAATACGTTTTTTTAAGGGTCAGAAATATTTGTTTAGCAAATGTTTTAAATGCTGTAAAATTCTCCAAACCCTAACTAAATAAAAATCAGCATGAAAACCTCTTTTCGTCCAATGTGCAGTTGCGTCAGTGGGGAGAAGGGTTAAGGGCCGAAAGGGGTGTTAGTTGTAGGCGTAGATACATGCCCACGCATGGTTCGGGGCTGGCGATTCAATTTAGTTTGCCACTTAACCCCAGAGTGCCCCACGCGGCGGTTGGTTCGCCACCTTTAACTCTCGCGTTGCCCGGAGGGCGGACGCAGTGCAGAACATGATAAATTGCCACTTGACTTTGCATATTTGCGCTGACAACGGGTCGTGAAAAGGGTGATGAAAGAGATGAAGTTCGGGGAGACAAAAACGATACACTAAAATAAATGTTGTCTTATAATCTTGTAAATAAAAAAAACAATTTTAAGTCAAAGAAAAAATCTTCTATCTATATTTTTTGTTTGCTTCCTAAGAAATATATAAGGCCTATCAATACTGTTTTTATGGTAAAACCTTTTAGGGCCAATTTCTTTTTTTAATAAGCAAACAAATTAAATATTAATAATAAAGTTGAAAAACCTAAAACGACAACCTTTCAATATTCAAATTATTTATAAAGTAGCAATTACAAAAATAAATTGAAACTTTTTATTTGAATGTTTGTTTTAGAGCGATTATAATAATTATTATGCAGTATTTCTATACCTTAAGTCAAACCAATTCAAAAATGTTAATGGTAGTTTTTGGATACATTATAAAAATTAATTGTATTTTTTTAAGTGCATCTCTCCATAATCGGCAGCTACAAAACAGTCTCCCAACTCACTCGCTCTCACTTTACTGTTGTCTATTGAATTTGTTCAACTTTTGCCCGGGGACCGAACTTTGACTTTTCCTGAAGTTTTTCTTGTGTGAAAGTGGTGCAGAGAAACAAACTCATCAGCCTTGACACCATTTAAGTTTTTGGGAAACCAGCGGGAAGTCAGCAACGAACCACGTAGCCAGGAACTGGCCATTGTTTTGTGGATCGGGTGTTTCATTTAACTGACACTTGCAAAAGTGTCCTGTCATTCTTGCCACCAGTTTTCAACCACCGCACACCGCCCACCGCCCACCATCCACTGCCATGTCATGTGACCATTTTCCATTTTCGCCTTCATTTTGCATGCATGATTTTGGCTGTCTTCTTTTTTTGTGTCACTTTCTGTGTGCCATAAGTATTCGTTTTGTTATTATTTTTAAAATCCGACAAGCACTCCAAGTAGAGTGGCTGTCAGGTGGTGTCGAGTTCTGCATTTTAGTGTGCCACTGACACCACGTCCCCCGATTTGCCACCATTTTTTCTGCCGGGAATCATGACGTGAATAATTACAACAGCCACTGGGCCCGGGGGTCGGAGGAAAATTCAATTTGTTAACACCCGAAATGTGTTGGATCTGAACCAAATTCTGTGATTCTTCGGAAGGGTTTCTGGTCAGTAAACTGCAGTTAATTGGGATTTAAATTGGAACAACAGTTACAAGGCCCACAAAACTTTAGTTACACAGATAAAAAATTTGATTTAAAAATCGAACAACTTTGAAAAATGGCTGCATAACCATTCTGCGACTGTATAATTTGTTGTTATACTTTTTACTATCAGTTACTTGTATAGAAATATTGTTGTTATAAGATTAAATGTTAACTAAAGTAACTCGTTTGTCCTAGAAGTCACTCACACTTGTTGTGCTCTGATTATGTCTAAGTGACAAAACAAATAAATGTCAAGTGGAAGTCATGCATTTGAACGAATCTATTCAAACAGCTTTGGACTAGAAAAAAGGAAAACCTAAGATAAGAGCTTTTTTATGCTTTGTACCTTTTGGAAAATCCATTTACGCAGCAGTTATAGAAATACCAATGAAAATACCCGAGTAACCGCTGCAATTTGTGCAGACATTCATTATTTAGCTGGCACTGGTGTGCTGGGGCTGACAAATTCGAGTGCATCACACCGAGAGCGTCGAGCACTTTGACATTCCAACAAATTGCTGTGGCAATTACAACGCACCGAGTCAAATGTCCAGAAATCATTGCACTTGCCGCAGTAAAAGGCGAGAATGACAGAGAAATAAATGCGCAGCATTTGCTGTGCGTTCAATTTGGATGGTGTCGCGCTGTTTTGTTTATGATTTAATCAAATGCTCATTAATTAAAAGCTTGTCAGCCTTTGTGCTTCTTTTTTCCCTTCTCAGAAAACCACAAAAGGGGCGATGATGATGTTTCAATTTATCATCAATTAACCTCTGACCCCCGACGGCAGAGTTAAACAATAGAT